TTTCTGGACATTTATGGTTTGATTTCTTTGTATGTATGGATCACTTGGGTTTTTACCGACATCTGGTGAAACTTTCATGTCATTAGCACCTCTAGTAATATATTTACTGAGAAAAATGGTGACGTGTTCAATACTTATTTTACCCGCTGTATACCTAATCTATATAAATTCATTAACATAAAAAATGTGTAATTTGTTTTGATCTTAAAAAAAAATACATGCTTCTTCCCAGCAGTTCTTTGATGCTTGAATTAATTGTTCAGCATAAAACATTAATATTGCATTAATCCATTCAAAGGTAACTAAAAATTATTTTTTTTCAATTATCATGTTGACAACATATTTTAATTTTATCCATTTTGTCTCTGCTTTTGTGCATCATTTTGAAGAAGTAAAGTGGAGCAAAGTATTTACGGTTCACCATTATCTGTGTCATACTTAAGGACTACTAGTACGTCAGTACTACAATTTTTGTCCATAAAGTCAGGTGTGTCCCTTAACTTTTTAAACAGCTTTTTGAAGATACATTCTTCTCATTCTACAAGCATTTGTTTGTTTCCTTCTAAAAAAAGAGTTGATGAGTTAAATCATCAAAATAAGCACCTTTGACATTCATACAGTCCTTATTTCTATAATGTGTGGATAATGGGTGGATAAGATGGACATGGCCAAATCAATAATATCACTCTAATGTATTGCAATGCTAAGTGGATACTGTAATTACAAAGTAAACAAATATTAAGTTTATCTCAACATATCACTTTGCTGAATTAGCTGGTCTAATGTCATGAAAATCAGGCTACTTTCAGATTATTTTGTGGTAGATCTCGTATTCTGTTTTGTAAAATTTCTTATTTTTATTCCCTCCAGTTTCTCCTCCAGTGTTGTCAGTCCCATCAGGAGGTCAGATCGTAAGTGTTCGTGAGGGAGGGAACGCCGAACTGGTGTGCTTGGTGGTTGATGGCAAACCTCGTCCTCCAGTTCTGTGGTCACGGACAGAGAAGGACCTGCTGATGCCCTCTGGGACGCCTGTAGTGGAGACACCTGACGGCCGCTTGAGGCTAAGAAATGTTAGCAGGGACATGATGGGGTTGTATCGCTGTCAGACAGCTCCGTACAACGGCCTTAACATCAAACGCAGAGAGGCACAAGTTCAACTAAACGTTCAATGTAAGTACAGATGACTTTACTCTAAAGACATAAACATTAAAATATCAATAAACAATAAAAAGGTGCCTGACATTGCTGAATGATGGGAATAATTTCGAGTTGGTTAGGCTTCCCCATGAATTTATTTAAACACTTCTCTTCATTCAAAGTTTGAATTATAACACAAGAGTTTGTTTTTAAATTAAATGATCTGGAAAGTCATTCACATGACTGATATTCTCTTTTTGTTTGTTTTTAATCTTGGGCCTCATTAACTCTGGAAGGAGAAATTAATATAGAGTTTATTGAGAATATTCACTAGTTTAAAGGGTTAGTAGATATATAGCCACTGCACTGCTTCTTTGCACAACAATATATCTATAATTCCTTAAATTTGAGTTAAATTAACAGCATAATTTAGCTAATCTATTTTTTTCATGTTCCCAATTAGCCATCTATTTCAAGTCAAACAAACTGGTAAATGAAAATAAAACATTTAAAGAAAGACAAGCTTTTATTTGGCTGCATTTTTTTCATCTTACTATTTTTTATTGTATTTTAGAAGAGCAGCAACAGGTCTGTATTACAGCAGATGAGGGCTGCTGCCATTAAAAACAGTTAAACATACAAGTTCTAAATAAATTATTTTAATTTAACCTTCTCTGTGACCAAATTTCAATGTTACAAATATAAAAAGTAGAAGTTTGTGCCAGTTTCCCCTTAGGAAGTACTGATGCCATCACAGCATGTGGTCACAGAGACCTTGACCTTTAACAGTGCAAAACTAACAGACATATTCTTATTTTAAATGATAATCAGAAACAAATTTAAAGTCTATAAGTGGGTGCAGTTTTCAGGTAACAGAAAATGATGCAGTGCATTGTCGCAACTCTAATTTGTTAAAATTAAGAAACTGAAAACAAAATGAATCATTTGCATCAGTTCTGCACATATAAAGCAAGTTGACATCCTGCAGAGAGTCAAACATTTCTGTACATTTCTATAATGCCAAGTGTGAATGTGAATATCTTAATTTCCTACTGTGACACAGCTGATAAATAAAGGCACAAACACTGCTTCCTCTCCTCTCCTCTCTTCTGTAAGAAGTCTTTAGTTGGCTTGCTAATGGTGGCAGGGTGGAAGGCCAACACTCTGTGAGCACTGCTCTCCCCACTGAGCCAACTCTGATTAATGGAGCAGGTGGTCACCCCACTTTGGACAGAAAAAAAAACAGCAAAGAGACAGATATACAGTATGAGAGGGGCTGAGATTGGGGGGGAAATGGGGTTCAGAAAAAAAAACTAGAATATAAGGAGTGGTAGAAGGAGGGAGAAGTATAATTTGATACAAATCAAAGTAGTGAAAATGATAAGCAAGTTGAAAACAAACGTAAATGAGAACGTTTCTATGGCTACAGATTTGACCGTGCAGAAAATCAGATCCTTCGTCTCCTTTTTCTGCTGACCTATTTTATGCCCACCTTGCTTCACATTTGAAATTAATCAGATGTCTCTTTTCTTCCCGGTGTTTACTTGTATAAGAAAAGAGCGCCAGATTTAATTAAATAGATATGTAGACTTTTGCTGCTTTTGCCTCTCCTACGTTTTTGCCTTGAATTAGTTTCTCCATCCCCTGCTCTCTGTTTTCCTTCCATAGAGAGGAGCAGGTTCTTCCTCATTGCCACTCTCATCATCATCAATCAGCTAACTGTTGGCCATGAGAGAAGCCCTCTCTCTGACTCGTCATTGTCTTTCTGCATCCTCTCGTTCACTCACCACCTCCTGTACTCAATCACTGACTTCTTCCACTTTCACACCAGACTTTCTCTGTCATCTGTCTTCCTCATTGTTGTCTTTTTGAAGAGAACTTCTTCACCTTTCTCTTTCAAAACCTAACAAACACCCTTCCTTCTCTCAGTCTCATGTAAATGTTTTTTTACTGTAGGTTTTCCTTGGTCAGTGTTGCATTCTTGGATGGAATCTATTTTGTATTCAGTAAGACAGATAACAGTTAATATGCAATACGGTGCTGGTGTACAACATGGTGCACATTATGGTGCCAATAAATCCAAATGAGGAGGAAAATAATTGAAAAACGAAGCTTAAGAGACTTTGTAAAGACTTGTAAAGTTAAGCTGAAGTAACCCAAGCAGCTTCCAACACAGAAGTTTTCAGGCTTGTCTAAAGAATTCTAATATAAACTTTTATCTCAAATTGTAGTGGTTACTCAACATCGTTACTCACCTATATTTTTTTCATCCTTGTTTCCTGTTTTTATCAACTGCTCCACAATTTGCCTGTTTCTTATTACCCTTCCCATGGTTTAGTCATTATTATGTAAATATATGTCTATGAGCAGGAGCAGGTTGTGTGAGCATACACTAATCAGACCACAGGAGTACACTAACCTCTCACACATCAGTCACCTCTTCAACACACAGCTGTGTAAGCACAATTATAATGGTGGATTCACACTGAATGCATTTTGAGCAGCAGGAAAAGCCCGTTTACATGCAAAGTCTATGCCAGACGTGCCTCTAGGGGTCGTGTGTCTCGTCACGTCCGTTTTGTGCGGTGCGCAAGGAAAGCGGAAGGGGCGGCAGAGCGTTTTCCGTGCATGCGGTGCTACGGAAGCAGCCGACGCCCGAGTTAAAAAATCTGAACTTTCGCCGCTCGACACGTCTTGCAACCAATCAGAGAGACTCATTTTTCCACAGGATAGTTTCCTGAATGTTGCCCTCTAAACCGAAACAGACGGACAGGAGATCTTTAGTTGAAATTGATCGTCTGCAGTTGGTGTTCTGCCTGGAGATATCAGCACCGATGTGGTTCAGCAGCTCGTACTGGGCTCGGGACAAAAAAAATAGTCCGTCAGCTCGCATTTCCTGGAGTGGCGAAACTAACCGAACAAATAAAGTAAGGGGTCTCTGCAGTAGGTTTTGTCCTGTGGGCGGAGACGTCCCTGCTTGTGATTGGCTGAGGTCTTGATGTGGGTGGAGATGGCCGAAGAGATGTTATTGGTCGGATTGACGGTGGGGTTTGAGGAGGGTGGAGGCAACGGGGAGTAGCTTGGTCAGTCAGGCAGGAAGCAACATGTTTTTTAAGATTAATTTTAGTCATAACTTGAGAAAGGAAAATGTTAGCTACACAAAATTTGAACGTCATACATGTGAAAGGATGCGTAACAATATGGCTTGGTTAAAACATCCCTAACCAGCCTGTAAAAAATATTGATTTTTAGCGATTTCTTTACATGCTGGTTAGGAATGTTTTAACCAAGACATATTGTTACACATCCTTTCACATGTACGACGTTCAAATTGCGACTAGTACTTTCCTTTCTGAAGCTATGACTAAAAAAACATGTTACTTCCTGCCCAACTCGACTAAGCTACTCCCCGCCAGTGATGCCAACTCCTGAGCAAGAAAAGTCCCTATTGGCTGTCATAAAAGTCGCCAGAAGTTGCTAGATGATGCCATCACTTAATTTGCATAGTTGGATGTTTGCCAATAATTGTGATCTGAACTATAGGAGAGATGATGAAGAGAAAAAAAGTGAATAAAAACACTAAATATGTTTAGAACTGCAATTAAACTTAATGAAATAAAAATAATTTTATGACTTCAATGCTTAGATCCACATAAATTAAATTTGTGGGAATTTTAAATTTAATCTGCAGACAGTTCGATGTCGGGAGACACAGGGAGGAAGAGGTGAAGTGACTGATCTGTGAGTCAAACACAGCTGGGTCCAGAGATTTAGTTTACAGAGACAGTACCAGAGAAAAATATTACAATATCCTGCTTAGAAGCAGTGACAGCTTTGCGCATGCGTGATTTATTTGCAGTGGTCTCTCCTCTCAGCTGACTTCAGCCGAGGCTGGGGGTAGGGTTGGGGGTGCTGCACGAGGCTTCAGTGAGTCGGACGGCTTTAGGAAGGGGGAGGGGCTCACCTTCGCGCTCGCTGCTTGCGGAGGAACAGAGGAGAAAAAAGTGAGAGGAAAAAAGTGCTTGGAAAATGCTGTCGCCAAAGCTCCTAAAAGCCTCTAAAAACACCGGGGCTAGATTTGTCAGACAAATCTAGCGATGTTTTTTCCCAAAAAGTCGCTAAAGGGGTCTAAAAAGTCGCTAGATCTAGTGACAAAGTTGCTAAGTTGGCAACACTGCTCCCCGCTGCCTCCAGCCTCATACCCCACCGTCAATCCAACCAATCACATCTCTTGGGCCATCTCCAGCCACATCAAGACCTCTGCCAGTCACGAGCAGGGACGTCTTCGCCCACATTAAGACCTTAGCCAATGACGATTTGGGCCACGTTCTGCAGAGAACCCTACTTGAACAAATCGCCTCTAAATCATCTGGTGACTTGATTATCTGCTGTGCGCAACGTTTGCTTGCTCTTTAGTAAATAAAACAAAACCATTTTCTTAATTTTATCTTCATTTCATCCGCTATTAAAAACAGACCAGAAAAAAACCAAGACGCTCCTCCCTCTTCAGATGCACGTCTGGTCTCTGTCCCGGTCTGAACATTTTGCATCCAGCTGGAGGTGTTGTGCGCTTTTTTGCTGCTCAAAACGCATTCGATGTGAATGTAGCATTAGAGTTCAAGGAAGTCAAGAACAAAGTAATGAGCACATAGTGCCTAATCTGGTTAAATAAACAGGAGAGTATACAATTTGGACCCAAAAAAAGCAACAAGAATTCAGAAACTGTGAAGGCAAAGGCTGTGGTGCTTCCTAGTCTTTTTAGCATTCAGATGCTGACTCATGTTCTTTGGACTGAACTACAAACACAGAATGTTAAACTGAATTCTAATAAGAAATATGGTCTGCCTGTGTTTACTCAAATTATTTAGCAAATTACAAATAGTCTGACGTCAATAGTTGAGTCACAATACATTTACATTTTATATATATTTAAATTATTAGAAGCATGTTAGACTTATTTTGTGTCTGAGGATTTTGCATATTGATTTCAGGTTGTTGGTAACTACTATAATGAAAACTTTGAGGAGCTTTTCTTCATATTTCAAAAGATATAAAGGTCCAAAGAAATAAATATCACTTCACCATTGTATCTCAAGTTAATCTGAATCAGATCCATTTTATTAAGTTAGGCAGTTTAAAAACATGGAAGGCGAAATAAATTGAAACAGAATGGTCTCAATAAAATTTTTCTGAGCAAAACAAAACAAGTAGACAAAAAGTTGTGACGTTACAGCAAAATAACTTCATAAACCTTGAACAGTTTTCATAAAATTGACTAAACATTCATTAGTTTATCACCTTATAGCCTTTTGATTAAATGTCTTGTTTGTTTTGCTCGACAGCCATCATCTTGAGCTTTAAAAGCTTTTGGCGGCACGATGGCTCAGTGGTTAGCACCGACGCCTCACAGCAAGAAGGTCCTGGGTTCGATCCCCGGTTCGGACCTGGGGTCTTTCTGTGCGGAGTTTGCATGTTCTCCTCGTGCTTGCGTGGGTTTTCTCCGGGTACTCCGGTTTCCCCCACAACACAAAAACATGTACAATAGGTTGCCTTCAGGCCCAGGCCGCCCTTGAAAAAGAGATCTGAGATCTCAATGGGATTTGCCTGGTAAAATAACGGTAAATAAAAATAAAATAAAAAAAATAAAAAGTACCTTTCTGAGGCCTTTACTATACCTTGAAAAATATGTCCTATCAACACAAAATGCTCTGTTGAAGTTCTTTTCTTTTTCTCCTCCTGAATGTTTAACTTTAAAATCATAATTTGACATTTAGCGATAGAAAATCTTAAGCTACAAAATAATTACAAATATCTTTTAAAAGTACATATTTGATGCACAAGTGTATCTGTGCAAAGTTGGAGACACATAAAATAGAAAGATACATTCAATTTTTTAAAATAAATCATAAAAGATCCATCCATACATACATACATTTTGTGTAGTTTATATATGTATTTAAATATTAACTTCATGAGGAAATGATTGCTTGCTGAAACAACTGGTCAGCACAAAACATCTGTTCATTTTGTATAAAACAATTCAGGAGCCTCTCTTGTGTTATCTCTCTGTGTCTTTCGCCCATCCTTACAACAACTTGTTCTGTATCTGTCTAAATTACATCCATAGCTTAGATTAGAGTGTAATTACACATCTGTGTCTGATAAACTTGATTCATACAGAGACAGTCATGCTGCCTCACCTCTGGGGGCCTTAACACCAAATCTCATCACCGTTCATGTAGCGGTAGCACTATTAGCGGCTTGTCTATCTACATGATTAGCCAGGGGTGAAGTCGTACGTCTGTGATTTGTGGCAGAGTAATTTGGCTGTGTTGTGTCTCCGGTGACCTCAGGGCAACAGTGGCAGGTCAGTCATTAGTCGCAGAGCCACACATCACTTCTGACAGGTTAATAAGTAGCGGTTAGGATAGGTTAGGAGCAGGAATGAGACCGTGTCTTGTAATGCCTGATCCCTTTCTTTTTCTTTGTTGATATTTTTTGTACTAACAGTTGTTTTGAGGGTGATAATTTGTCAGAACAGGGGTCGGATTTATAAAACTGGCGTACGCACAATTTGAGCCCAGAAACTTGCGTACGCCACTTTTTACGCCAAGGTTGTGATTTATAAAATCCAAACTTGACGTGAAAATGTGCGGTGCCTCACGCCAGCTCTGACCCATGCGTACGCTCATTTTGGAGACGTGAAACTGCGACACAGATGGTGAAGTGAGGAATTAGAGCCACACTGTGTAATGATCACTGTCAGATATTTAATTTACCTTCAGAATCAGACTTAAATAAAAGTTCCCGTGCGCAACTCCATTTATCTGCTTCCTCCTCAGACGACCCTGACCCACAGACCCCTCCCCATAAGAACAGGACAGCAAAAGCTTTGAATACACGCGCAGGGTGTGTATCCAGTCCGTGTTTGTCACGCGCGCGCAGGGGGGATGCGTGCATTCGTGTGTGTGTGTGTGTGTGTGTGCGTGCGTGCGCGCGCGGGGTGGGGGTCTGCCGCGGGTAACAGAGCAGGCAGGAGGGAGAGAGGACGAGGAGAAGAGCGGGGGACTTATTCCTAATTTTACCTGACTTATTTTATTTAATTGTTATTGTTTTTATCATCCTATAGGATCTGATTGAAAATTAATTTGAAGCTGAGATTTTTTATTTTTATTTTTTATAAAAATCGTTAGATTACTCTAAAGCAAAATGTGGGAAAATCTGTGTCAATTACAGACATTCTGTTCACGTGAGCAGCTGTCAGTCAGCACCTGTCAACCTCCAGACTCACGAAGGAGTGAGTCTGAACCAATCACTTTTGTTGGCATTGATCAGCTGACTGATTTAAATACATCTTAACATTCATGAGGTACTTTACATTGACTGTTTATGGTTGAATGTGGGCGTGTAGAGGGTAGAACCTGAGGCGGGACCTCGTGCGCAAACTCTGACGTGCGGCTGTGATTTATAAACGAAAGATGCGCAGAAACATGCGTACGTACGGTTTTATAAATCTGAATTTTTTTTGGCGTACGCCACTTCCGCCTTTTGGCCGTACGTTCACTTTTAGTATGGTTTCCACGCAATCCTTTATAAATGAGACCCCTGGTCTTTTCTGTGTATATAATAATTTTCTGTGCATTACAATCACATTCTTTTCTGCTTTTTAAAGATGTTTGAGATTAATTTATGACAACTTCCAAAAGGTTTGACCCCTCCTTCTTTAAATGTTTTTAGGCTCTTAATCATTAGAAAACCTAAGGATTATGGACTTAAAATGGTCTATTGTCTCCACAGACCCTCCGATTCTGGACCCAGTCTTTCAGGATGTTCGTTCCAGAAACTTTCAGATTGTGACCCTGAGATGTACAGTGGTACGGTCCAATCCCTCCCGTCTAACAGAAATCCGCTGGTTACGAAAAGGTGAATTTATCCGAATGTCTACGCCAGACCCGAAGGAGACGCCAGAGCTGAAGTTCAAACTGGAACCCATCAACAATGGCACCTATGAGTGCCGAGTCAGCAATAGCGCAGGAACATCAACATGCACTTTTAATGTTTCAGGTAAGAAAAATAAATGCATTTTACCTTTAGCTGTTTTGGATGTGTTTCTAAAACGCATAATTACATATACTGTATTTTCTACTTTGTTCTGGTTTGAGAGATGTTTCTTTTTTTTCTTTACTTGTTTTTTTTTATTTTTTTAGCAAAACCCTACAATTCTGAGTTTTATTTTGATACACCCAACCCTGTGCGCATCTTGACAAGCAACAGCTACTCCTATAACCTGCAGTGGACACAGAAGGATCCTCAGGCTACAGACCGTATTATAGGCTACTGGCTTAATGTCCGGAAGGTAAAGTACTCCCACACAAACACCAGTAAGCAGCACATTTAGCAGCATTCATTCGTCTCTGCACTCATACTGTGTTTTATTTATCTGATCTGGAAACAGCTGGATGGACAAACACTAGCAGATTAATATGTTTATCAAAATAGATGTTAGGTCGCCAAATCACAAAGTGAGATCTAGATTGACACCTTAATGGATTTGTCACATTATATCCCGTCACAGGTTATTTCAGGTTATTTTTTTCTTAAATTTGAACAGCTACATTTTTTTTTAATCTATGGTAATTCATTGTAAGCACTGCAGTTTTCCCTGTCTGGATGACAGTGTGATTGCTGTGGTCGACAGCGAGACTCCATTAGCTTTCTGTCTCTGCAAATACAGAGAGCCCACGGAGACGCTGAGACAAGTCTGAGAAGGTAATACCATAGAGGAGTGAGGACAAACACCATGGCTGTCTCTGAAAACAGCAAATGTTGAGAAGAAAATGTAATATTTCCTTTTAGACTGATCTGAGTCAGACATGTTCAGGTTTTTGTTAATGTTTCAAAAGTTCTTTGTCTCGTATAAAAGGTAGTGGTGATGATTAAATTAGTGATCCTTAACATCCATCCATCCATCCATCCATTTTCTGTACACGCTTCTTCCTTTTCAGGGTCGCAATTCACAATTAGGCAATGCTTTTGAGCAAAGACACTCATTTAACTGTGAACTGGGAGCATAATAAATTCATTATTTAAGCAATCAGTTTAACAGATCTGATGCTACGTTTACACTGAACGCGTTTTGAGTGGCCAAAAAGCACAAAATGTCTCTCGTTGGAGGCGCTATTTTCAGACCGAAGAACGCACTAGTGTTCAGACCAGAACAAGCAGCAGCAGCGGGGTGTGGGAGGAGCGTCTCCTCGGCGGGTGAATAAAGATAAAATAAAAGAAAATGGCTTTGATTTATTTACTAAAGAGCAAGTGAACATTGCACACAGCAGATAATTAACTCACCAGGTGATTTAGAGGCGATTTGTTCGGTTAGTTTCACCACTCCAGAAGCTGCCAGCTGACGGACATATTTTTTTGATCCGGAGCAGCTGATCCACATCGGTGCTGATATATCCTGCCAGGAAATCCAACTGCACATGGTCGACTTCAGGTAAAGATCTCCAGTCCGTCTGTTTTGGTTTTCAGTGGGAGACAAGTCGAGCAGCGAAAAGTTCAGATATTTGAACTCTGATGGCGACTCGGGCGGCGGCGGCTTCCGTGGAAAACGCTCTGTGCTCCTTCCGCCTTCCTTGCGCGCCGCCCAAAACGTACGTGACGCGACGCACGACCCCTAGAGGCGCGTCCTCATAGACTTTGCATGTAAATCAGCCGCTCCTGCCGCTCAAAACGCATTCGGTGTGAACGTACCAAAACAGTATATTTGACAATCAGTGACTGCCCAGCAGTACTCTTGGATTTATTCCTCTATCTTGTTTTTCCTCATTATTATACCTATTCTTTGCTTTTTATAAGCTTTATGTGAGATAGCTGTCTCTAATGCTCTTTTTCCCTATCAATCAATCAATCAATCAATCAATCAATCAATGAGTTTATTCACTCAATTCAACAATTTTCCTCATTATAACATACAAACACATTTTCGTTTAACACATACTATACATGAGTGAAAAGGGAGCAGGAAGAAGAAAACCTTGTATAAACCTGCTCCTTTCWCAATAATTACAATTATTTTTCATGGCCACATACATTAAATCACAAATAGAATCTGCAAATAATATATTGTTCTCCTCATTAACTCAAACGTGTATAAGACTTAATAATTTTTTCCTTATAAAGTATTTTAAATTGATTTAAAGTAGAACATTTTTTCAAATCGTCATCCAAACTATTCCATAATTTTACCCCATAAACTGAAATACACATTTGCTTTAAAGTAGTACGCACAGTTTTACTTTTAAAATCATATTTTCTTCGGTTAGTTCTGTCATTTGAACTTAAGACAAAAAACTTTTGTAAATTAATTGGCAATAATATCTTTCTTGCTTTAAACATAACTAATAAAATTTTTAAATTAACTAAATCCCGTAGTTTCAAAATGTTTGATTGAATAAAAAAATTATTTGTATGTTCTCTAACATTCACTTTATACAGAATTCTCATAACTTTCTTSTGTAACACAAACAAAGGTTTAGTATTGGTTTTATATGTGTTGCCCCATACCTCTACACAATAGGTCATATAATGAGCAACAAATGAATGATATAATGTATGGAGTGTTGGTTGTTCTAAAATATTTTTTACTTTATTTAAGAGTCCAATACCTTCACATAGTTTTTGTTTTATATATTTTATATGAGATTTCCAGTTAAGTTTATGATTCAAGACAACCCCTAAAAATTTAACTTCATATACTCGTTCCACTATATTATCCTCTATGGACATTATAGTAGAGCCATCTATTTTTTTGTTACTAAAAATCATGAATTTAGTTTTATTCCAATTTATTGATAATTTATTGTATTTTAGCCATTCATTAATTTTAGACATCTCACTAGCCATTTGTTCCATAAGGTTTTTTAGATCATTTCCAGAACAAAATTAATTTGTATCATCTGCAAACAGGATAAACTTTAGTTGTTTAGATACTTCACAAATGTCATTAATATACAAAATAAAAAGCTTTGGTCCTAACACTGAACCCTGAGGAACTCCACATTTTATACTTTGAAAATCTGATTTTATATTTCCTAGTTGTACAAACTGTTTACAGTTAGTCAAGTAACTATTCAGCCAATTATGGACTATCCCTCTTATCCCATAATCCTGTAATTTAGAAAGTAATAGAGTGCGGTCAATAGTGTCAAAAGCTTTTTTTAAATCAACAAACACCCCCCCCACCCCCCATACTCTTTTTCCTACTTTTAAATTCCAAGCTTTTTTGCCTGAAATGGAAAAGTATTTATGTTGTTTTCAGTATTATCCTTATTCAGTTACATTTGATACTATATTTACAAATTATGCATAGTTTTTGTTTAAGAAAAAAAAATAATTGTGTGCGTGGAACTTGCTGACCTTTAACAGCACTGCACTGACTGATGTGAATTGGCATAAACCAAGTTTTGAACTTTAGGAATGTGAAGCTCAAAACAAACTCAATGACTCGATGCAACGTGATTTCTTAATGTGAGCAAGGACTGGCTTTGATTGATAGCTGGAGAGCAGGTCGGAAAGTGACCTGAAATAATCTGGGCTGAATGATCTTGGAGCCAGAGTTGAGCACTAAGAGGTAGAGGAGACATTGGCAGGACAGAGGTCAGGGAGTTACTCAGCAAAAAAAGTCCACATCCAGCCACATGCTGAGAGGGAGAGAGGGTGTGTTGGTCAAGGAGTGGGAATAATGAGGTAGCAGCAGACGAGACAAACCAGCTTGAGTGTAAATTTTTTACAGACAATATCCTACATACCCACAACTCTGCAAATTCTTCATAAACATGAAACTTCAAGAGCTTTTTTAGTGCCAGAAATGTGTTGTCAATATGAACTGAATGAACAAAAGACTTTTTTTTACATTATCAGTTTGTAAAACTCAGTTTTCAGACTTCTTTGTTGTTTCAGGCAGTTTTTGGAAATTGTGTATAGTAAAAGTACTTCACGTTAAGATAAAAAATATTATAAAATTAGTTTGAATTCTTTCTTTTGCACTAATTTTCTGGGTACTCCAGCTCAATGACAGCAATGCATTACGTGTTAAATAGTCCGTTTTTAGTGTTTGGTTTTATCAGACGACTAATTTTCACTTTCAAGAGGCTGAGAGTGTGAAGATGAGTGGCCAGCACTGAAGTGATGATGTTCTCAGGAAGCTGCAAAATGTCAGATTTTTACACAGCTTTTTCTGTTCTGCATTTGGGTATCAGACAGTCAGTGACATGTCGTTTTTATCACGGTAGGCATCATTTTTCTAGATGAAGGTTTTTGCTGTTGACAGATTTCATTTTTATTCAGCTTCAGCTTAGAGACAGTTAACATTTGATTTTTTCTCAGGTTTTAGCTGGTCCTCAAATGATTGACTTGGCGCTGACGTGAGTTTATTTTCACAACCTGACGAGGAGTGTTAAATTAGACTCACACTCACAAAATAGAATATTTGTGTACTGGGATATCCTCTGAAAACAGTAAGTCTCAGCCTGTTTGATTTATAGCCGGATGCTAACACGGTTTATACATTCATTAGATGTATAGATTGTCCTGAACACAGACTGATCCGGAGACTGCACATTAGGAGAGAAACCTGAGACCAGTTTCTTGTTTTGTCACATGCATTATGGATTAGTGAGTGTAAATCACAAGACAGGAAGAATAATAGTGAATCATGCACTCCTGGCTGAGGTTTATATGATTGTGTAAGAGAAGCAGGAGGATTGTGGGATCTGCCAGCAGCCTCCCTGCAGATGAATTGCTAAATCCCCTCCTACTCTATGATATGGATGCTTTCTTATTAAGTAAAACTCTTTGGAGAGACATGAAATGAGCAATTGTATATTTTATGCTCAAGCTTTCACTTAGTCTTACCTTCTTTTTTTTCTCATTTTAATATGAGCAGCTCTTCTTTTTGTTCCTCCCAGCCTGATTTACTTTTTTACATCTCAGCATTTTTTTTCTCTTTTCCTGATCTTTCCTATTTTTCTTGCTTGCTGTGAGCTGCCAATGTAAAGGAGTGAGTTTTATGCCATTTACAGTTGGATGCAGCATTGCAACTAAAAATGGCATTGGTAAACAGTTGTTGCAAGTTGTTATGGTATGGAAGCGATTGTGTTCCATAATCCTAATTAAAATGGATTAATAGAAATGCTGTTTCATTTTCAACATGTACCTGATTTTTTTGACTCATAAGTAAAATTATAAATACATAATCCAAACTGTATGTTCATTTTCTTCTCCAAGACTGCTCAAAGTGTAAATTAATTAAAATGTTAAATAAAACTTTGACATTTAATTTTCAAAATATGTC